CACCTACTGCTGTGGCCATTGGAAATGCCACATTTCACAGCAATGTCTTTTTCAGAGCTTTTTCAGCTTGTGTTCACCGTTAGCTCATATGAAACCCAAAAATTTGCTCCAAGTTACTCCAGAGTATTTTATATATTTCTTAATTCCCAACTAACATGCTTTTCTACAGTCCGTGTCAGCATGTACACTGCACACAGAGTCCAGGTTTGAACTATACAGCGGGATGACAGATGAGAAGTATGCACATGTGATGTCTATATGTAAACACACTTGTGTTAGAGTGTGAATGTGGCCTTCAGGAGAAGTAGTGTTTTGTTTAGCTATAAATTAATCTGCTTCTTGAAGAAAAATTGCTGGAAGACCTAAAGCAGTTCTTCTTTCTGCTCGAGAACATATGCATTGTTTCATTCAAAAGCAGCTCTAAAAAAATCTTCCAAACTTGAGTGGTTTAACTGTAACCATCCCAGATGTTGGTGTTCATAGTGAGCTGCTGTTTGGGTTAGATACAAGCACCTTTTGGTCAGAGAATGCAATGTTTCCTGCAGCAGGCACAAGTTTATCTTGGAATAATGAGAATAGCTTAGCCTACTTGGAATACAAAAATAAAAAATTGATTCAGGGAATTAAGTATTGGCATGACAAAGTTTTCTGCTTTGCAGAGTGTTCTCTCCACAGTTGCAGTTATAGTTAGTGGAAAAACTTGCCACCAGCAACATTCTGAGCCCTGCAAGGCCTATTGGCTCTGTATTGGCTCTTAATTAATGAACCACATTCTCACAGCTGCACTGAGACCTTCTGTGATGTGGCTGTACCAGTGGAAAACAATGGAGTTATTCATGTGACATACAGCTGGAAAGAAATAAAGGACCGATTTGTGCCGGAGTGTGGTTGCTGTTGGCTGCAGCACGGAAATTTGGGAGAGTTTGTCGCCAAGAGAGTATAATTTATAAGATTCAGAGATCTGAAGACAAATGGTCAAGCTGTCTTCAAATGCAACATGTTGGGTTTTTCTCAAGCACATCGTGTGTACATAAAGCCCAGTTGGCCAATTCTGGCTACAACAGCTGCATAGTTTGAAAAAACAGTTCAACGCCCCATAGTGCAATACTTGAAATGAAATGGAATATGGCCTGTACTCTGACCTGCGCTAACTAATCTCTTTCAGTGAAGCCAGAATATACCTCTGCTTTTCTGCTAAAGCTACTCAAGCTGTATCTGGTGGCTCTGCCTCCAACAGTGTGGTAGCGGCTATAATCTTCCTTTTACCATAAGGTAAAAATGCTTGATAGAGCATGGTCAAAGCTGTGCTGCTTTGATTGTGAGCTGCTTCTGTCAACTAATTGCTCTAAGGTAACCTGTCAGTTGCCTCCCAGATAGGGCAAGTCTTTAATGTGTGCCACGAGGACAAAACATTTTACAGTGCTCAGACTCATTGCAGCAGGTCTTTCAACAAGCTTAGGCTGAATGTGTGTTCCTTAGGTTGTTTTGTTGTTCCAGATGTTCAATAACACCTATGCAATTCTGGTTTTAACTGTTGCCAGTAAAAACTGGGCAAAACGTGGGGTTTTGTGTGTCTATTGAATAATCAAACCTTGAGAAAAGGGAACTTCCTTGAACCAAGTCATGTGGGGAGCAGCTGACATAGTACTATTGATTTAGCTCCGATCAAGCACTCTTGCCTGACTGGCATAATTGATGGAAGACAGAATTGCATCTGCTTGTGAAACAGCAAGGTAATATGCACATGCTTGTGTTTGTGAGCGTACGTGCGCTTGCATGCATAGCCGCTTACATATGTAGATAGACCTTTTCTAGAAGCTGGGACACTCTTGCTGTGGTTTAGCCTGGAGCATGTTCCAGAGAGTTTGCCAGCTCTTGCATATGGGTTTGGGTGGAAAAGTTTGTGCGTTGTCCCGGCATTGTTGTAAGTGCCAAAGTGATCCCATTGTTTGAGTGGGATCTTGGTCAGAGGCAATTCTGAGTGACTGAAGAGTGATTTAGAGCATGTTACATTTAATTATTACTTTTTTTTCCCCTATGTCTATTCAATGTTTGATGAATGCTTAACAGAGTCTTTGCACAGCCTTATTAAGTGTCTTATTAGGCTACAATAGCCAGGAGTGCTGTTAGCAGTTCCAGCAGCAAGCGTGGCCATATACTGTGTACCTGCCAAAGAGCTGCTGGAGTTATGACGAACAAGGCAACCAAATCCTAGCACACTCCTCAGAAACATATGTCAAATTCCACAAACTTCTGTTACTGATCAGCAGTATCAGAAGCTGATTCACATGTGCTCCGTACACCTTTTCAAATACTGCCAGTAATGGACCTCTGCAGCTGTTGCCTGCAGCTGTTTGTTTTAGCCCTAATTTCATAGTTCTGTACATGTTGGAGAAACCAAGATGAGTTCCTGACTACAACCAGGCTCTACAGCCAGAGGGAAGGATACTTATACTATGCCACAGTGTAAGTAAGTCCACAAACCCAAACTTAGAGAAGTTACTCTATTGCTGGAGGCTGATTTGTGATTTTCTTGACAGAAGGATCATGTGTTGCTTGGGGCTGACTCTCCAGAGGAGTCCTGTAGCTGGAGCTTGCTGGTTCTTCTTGGGATATCTCCATGTTCCCATAGCCCTCACTTTCTCTTTGGCTGTTTGGGAGAGGGGACTGAATTGTCCAGCCTCTCCCTCTGATCTGCTTCCCTATCTCCCATTTCCCTCTTCCCCCCACAGTTTTTCTAAAGGAAATAAATGGTTGCTGCTTTGCACTGTTGAAAGCCGTTCTTGGTTTCTGTCCTCACATTGTCCTAGAAAGAGATCATACCTTGAAAGCAAAATGCTGCTAGTAAAACACTAATAGAGCATGATATTCAGTACATGCTAGTATTTCTCTAGGGAGCAAAACTTTAAAGGTATAAAGTATGGGGGAGTTTGAGTAGGGATGTGATCATTTAATGTTCGTTGGGGGGATATAAAGCTGATGGACAGTATGAATAGGTCTAATAACTGTTCAGCATTTTTACTGTTGGTGGTTAAATACTGACATAGAAGGAAAACCATCAAGCAACAAATAGCAAATGCTTGTCACAGGGTCCTTTTTGAGATTTACTCAGCATTCAGATTATGGACAAAGTTGATTAAGTGTTGAGATCACAGCATGACCCTACATTTCCTGTGTCAACACTCTACCCTTTTGGCAGCACCTTTGAGACTCCTGGTAATTTTTGATATGGAGACTCAATAGCATGAACATCACTTAAATACCTTCTCAAACCTGCGCTAGTAACAGTCTTGTGCTGGGGATTGTTTATAGCCAGGGATCGGCTCACACCCATGGAGTCATTCATATGTGAATGGGAACTCATGTACTGGGAGGTATGTGGGCCTCTGGTTCTGTGGCATCATTTCCCTCTTCTCCCTCAGCTGATGGATATCAAAAATTGTGAGTTAAATGTGGGACAAGTAGGCAAGTGAAAGGAAACAAATGCTTTTTTTCTGCTGAGTGCTGAGCAGAGATGAGTGCCCTCCTGGAGCTTGCTGGCAAAGAGGGACAGGAATAAGAAATGAGGGTGTTTTGTTTGCAGGACGCAAACCAGGCTTTAGAGGGGGTTGAAGAGTGAGGGGTTTCGGGACCTTCAAAGTCTAAGTCTTCTTGTGGATGGAGTAGGTTTTCCCTTTATGCCCATCTGGGATCCAGGACAACTTGTGTGCAGGTGCTCGCAGCGAAAAACCATTCAGACTCCAAACTGATAAATTTGCCATCACACACACCTTGTGACATATGCCTTTCTTCCCTCTGCTTGCGCAGCTTTTTATCAGGATGGGTTGGGGCCGAGAGAAGAACTCATAAATCTGCATAGAAGTAACTCAGACACATAAACTCTTGTTGGGAGCATGAGCATGAGGTGCTGCCGCATCCCTGCATGTTTTGCATGGGAGTCCAGCTCTGGAGGAAGTGAGAACTCATCGGAGGGCTGAATGTCACAGTCAGCTTGGAGAATTCACCTTGAAATGATTAATTTTGTTACTTGATGAATGGGAAAACCTTGCCATCTACAGAGAGGATCATCAAATGCAAGTCTGAAACTGAGAAATCCCTATAAATAAGGCTGCTTTTTTTTCTTTTCCCAACTTGAAGTGCCAAATAGATACTTTCCACTAAGCTCATAGTAGTACCTGATTTGGAAGCATAGGATCATCTCCTAAGATTCATTGCTTAGCAGCAAGGACTGAAATATCTTGCCTGGAAAAAAAAATATTCTAGTTTTTAAAGCAGCACTATTCTGTAGGTTGTGCTGATTATTGCTTTGTGCTGCATGACTGTGATTTTTGGCACACAGTGTCACATACCAAATTCCCAAAATAAAATGCTACATGATATTCTAAGAGCTCTTGGGAAGCTTTAAAAACGGATTTGTCCGCTGAGTGGGTATCTCTTCTGGTGAAGTCAAATGATGCAGCAAGAATGGCTTAAGAGGAGGAAACTTTAGTCAGCAGATAATTAGGTTTTTTAAATAAGAACAAGAGGAAAAAAGAAAACCTTCCATCAGTCTTGTGTTTGTAAAGTTGTCAGCAGTCCTGCTTTGATTGAAAAGGGTTTACAGCTATACGTTCGAATAGCTAAAACATCTGTTCAGCAACATTGTGAAATCCTCATGTTCGGAACCCCTGATAAGGGGGACGGCTGAGCGATTGGCTCATAGAGGCTCTACAGGCAGCAAAGGCTGTACATACAGTGGTCACCGCTTGCCTTTCCTCCTCCTGGTCAGAGGAAAACGTAGGAGACAGCTACTATTTTACGCATGATTTTCCTTTGAGAGAGGAAGAGCAGGAAGTGCCTAGGAAATGGTTCATGACAGAAACTTTGAGTTGTAAATAGGAGAGAGGAGGAGGAAGAGGAGAGCTCATAGGTGCAGTTTGTGAACAGTTGAAAAACTTGATACCACAGCAGCGGAGGAAAACCTCTCTTCTGTGAGATCGAGCACGTCCCAAGCCATCGCGATGGAAGGAGAGACTGTACCCGCGGCCAGGACAGGAGCCAGCAAAGCCACGCGGATCGCCCTCGGCGTCTTTGTGAGTGGGACCGTTGTTCTTGGCACCGCACTTTTCTTGGGTAAGTGAAAAGGTCAAGGCTAACCTGAACGTAACCCTCCCTAGCCTGTCTGCTTGGTGCCAGTGTTCGTGCTCCACGTGTTTTGGTGGAAAATCTTGGTCTCTTCACCCTATTTTATATTTTTCTTGAAATGGAAACGTGTCAGGAAAGGGATTTGCTGTGGGAACTTTAGAGCTGGAAGATGCAATGTTAGCTTATAGAACATTCTGAATGCTGAAATTTTAAAGAACTAGGTTCTTTTGCAGAATGGGGAGAAATGGGTGAGATCATTGTGCACAACGGTAATGCTGATTGAGAACTCACAGATTGTGACCGATGTGGGCTAATATTCTGTTTCCTGAATATAAATCTGTAGTGCATACATTTTATGGAATCTTTTGGGTTTTCCTTCATTTGGTTTTCATTTAGGGTTTGACTAAAATTCCTGTAGAAGGCTTCAATAATGCATTGCACATTTTTTAGATATTTCTGTCCTTCTACAATTAATTGCAAAGTTGTCTTTGCAAAAATTGTAAAGAGTGCATTCAGGATGAAATTAAAATGTTTTGATCATATTTATAAGCTGTAACTGGACACAATACAGAAGGCATTAGTTCTTCCTCTCCGGGATTTGTAATCATCTGTGGATTGGTTTTGGTGGAATATCATACGGAAGCATGTGTTTACACCTATAAAATGACATGAAGAAGTATAAATGTACTCAGAACCACCAGGCAGCCAAGAGAAAGCAATGTTGTATTCTGTAAAAACTTGCAGAGACAGATCATCTTTTGGAATAATTCAGCCCAACTTTTAATTTCTTTAGACCAACATAGATTTCCCTGGACTGGAGGGAACTTAACCTCTAAACCCATCTTTTGCTTCCCTCTGGTCGTTTATGATCTTGTGATCTTGTTTGAAAAGTCTGCTTCATTTATAATCACAACAGAGAGAATTATGTCAGGTTTTCTATAGAATATTTAAAGCACCAGGCTCACACTTGGTTAGTGTTTTTATGCTCTGGAGCATATTCTACAAATATTTGCAGGCGAGTAACTTTTGTGTATGTGTGTAATCCCACTCAATTCAGCAAAACTCTTTATAAATATGAGCATGACTGAAGCTTCAACTTGTTAGTGCAAAATATTGTTTTTAGATGAAAAGTAATGTTTTTCACATAAAGAATACAACATCAAACACCAGGGAGTAATAGAGACCTTATTTCCTTTTTTTTAGCACTAGATTGTTTATTTCTTGCAAAAAGCAACAGATGTTTATCACCATAGCTTGTCAGATGCTGAATTGCTTTATCCATACACCAGACATGAAAATTCAAACAAATATATTAATTCTTAGAGATAGTTTTTGAAGTATTCTGAGGCCTATTCCATAGCCAGGGATTCAATGTCAAAATTTTCATTGGCATAACTGCTAAGAAAATAAAAGTGCTGGCCTTTGGTCAACTAAAATGTTTTTAGGATTTGTTTGGAAATTGTCTGAGGTTTTCAACAAAAAGAATAAAGGAAAAAAGTAAAATTGTTTTGGTTTAGCATTTTCTCAATGCAGTGTTTCCATGTTTCATTGTGACATTGTGTTTTGTTTGTAAGTTTGAGTTTAACTCTTTTTCAGTTTTGTTAAACTGTAGAAAAGGAAACCATTATTTCTGGTCATGTGAAACATTTCAGGTGACCTTTTTTCTTCAGTTTTCTTTTAATCTGTAAAACTTGCTGTTTCTGGTAGACCTGAAACAATTTCCCTTCAATTTTCCAGCCTGAGGAGTGAAAAGTAGCCTTCTCTTGCTTCTCTTGTTCCTTCTTCTCAGAGTTCCTACAACTTTAAGAGGAATCTGGGAGATTTATTTACTGTTACTTGTTCATACCAGTTGTAGCCATACCGTGACTTCAGCAGGGAGCTACCAGGGAGTCGCTTGGCATCACGCAGGGTCCTGCCTGCGGCTTTTGGGATGGTGGTGTGAGCTGTGGCAGGACGGGAGCCAGGTCCTCTAGGAGGGCTGGGGCCAGAGCAAAAGGAATCAGATCGCTCTCCAGTTTCCTTGGACAAGAAGTCAGGCGGCTTTGAACCTCAATTTGGTAGCTTCTCCTCCTGACTTGGTAGCCCTTTGGACTTCTCAGGTTATAGGAACGTCCACATTATTTGTGTCTGCATATTTGTATGGCTTTTCTCCTTTCAGATTTTTTGGGGGGACTTAAATAAGGTGTATATTTGCTTAAGAATCTGAAAGCAGGCTTATAAAGGAAGAAGCTGGAACACTGAGTGTTATAACCACAACTGTAGGTAATAACGTAATGGTTAGTTCTCTGAACAACAACAAAAAGACAAGAGAACAAAACCAGGCAAAGTTTTTCGATCAAAATTAGTTGATAATTAAAAGGGAAATGTTACTGCCAAAGAATTTTTTTTTTTAATTTCCTCTAATGATGAAGTGCTAAGTGGAACAAAAGCAGTTGAAATGGTATTTTGCTTTTGTTTATAGGTATCAAAACCACAAGGGCTACTTCAGATTCTTTACTGATTATTTTTCATTCTCCCTCATTTGCCATCAAGTGAAAAAGAATTAAATGGTGCCTGGGATTTTCCCTCCTTTCTCTGCTTTGTTAAGGAAAAAAAATCTAGCAAACTTTCAAGACCTGGATGAATTCTAAAAGGCTAACTTTAGTGTGGGGAAAAGGTGAGTCAGGAGGAGTACAACACAATTAATAGGCATATTATCCATTATTTGTATTTCATGTGTCTCAAAATTGTGTTTTGGGGACCTCCACTTCCCTATTTTCTACTGTTCTTCACTATGCCAATTACAGTCTTTATATGCCTCAAAACCTCATGTATTTCTTGGCTAATTTACAAAGGCTGTTGAGGTGGTGTGTTTCACTGAGTCAATGCAAGCTTTGGTAAAGTTGTCCAGAGATAGTTTTACATTCTCAGATTCTTAGAAAATTTGATTGAAATCCAGATATTTCTGCCATTAGTTGTCATTAAAGCTATGAGGTTGGAAGAGATGAAACAGCTTTATATTAAAATCTAGCTTTAGGTTATTTATAGTAAAATTTTCCTGTGCTGAAACACCATTTCACATTTTCCTATCCCTTTTGAACAATATATAACTACAGGAGAAATTGTTTTATAACTATCATCACTGGTAAAGCTATGATACCTCAATATATTTCATTGTTGGTTTTTTTTTAATGTTTTTTTTTGCCATGGACTGACTTATTAAGATAATGGCTATTACAAGATTATTTCTTTATATCTACTGCGCACATCTACTGAGTCTTATTTCATCTACCCCTCGGGACTCTCCCATCCTCATCCCAAGTATCAATTATCTGCATATTTGCTGCCTGAGAGCAGTGTCTGAAATTAGCAATTCCTATGCTTAAGTTTCAGTGGCAGCTGTAATACGCATTTTTAAAAGATGAGTAAAATTAACTGACAATTTCATAGTTCTTGTCAGCAAGGTTTTTGGAAGCAAATACAATTACAATACTTTCGGGAGCCAGTTCAGACAGAAACTGAGCTATGCCTTATAAACCACAGCTATCCCTGTGCCCATCGCTATCCGGTTTATTCCAGGTTGGAATAAGGGGACCCTGAAAGGGTCCCGCTGGTGATGGGTCATGCTGGTGGGGCTGGGCGGCGCAGTGCTGCTGCAGGAGGAGATGCAGCAGGGCAGCGCAAGACCTGCAGATCTGTGAAATCCCTGCAGAAGGTGGCTAGATAGATAGCTCCATGTTGCATTGCCAGCTGTGAAAGGTGCAGCTCTGGAGGATGATAGCAACTATGATTAATTGTTTGTATTGAGGTGGCCCTCGCCATCCATGAGTAGGGCTGAAGTGTTTTTACTCCAGGCGCTGTGCAAATGTACAGCAAGAGACAGCCCTTGTTCCATGCTTCTTACAAGCCAAGACAGAGGAAGGAGAAAGCAGGCACAGGGGGAGAAAATAACTTGTTATGAGCTGCAGTATTTATTTAATATGCATTCTAACTGTTTTAAATCAGTGCAGTCAGAGATGCATTAGTGCCAGAGCTTGCACTGTTATTTGAATGATCAAGCACGCAGCATTTGGCTGCAATGGTCAAAATCCATTACAAATGATCTCATCATGGTTTTCCATTTTGCAGTTAGCCAAGGTCTTATAAAGTTTCATCCGAAGCAACAGTACTGTTTGACCTCAGAGTGCATTGAAGCTGGTAAGCAACAATTTTATCATCTCTATTACATAATGATTATAGTACATTAATGAGATATTTATACAGTTTAAATTTTTGCCATATGTTACGGTTCAACCCCAGCTGGCAACTAAGCACCACACGGCCACTCACTCACTCCTCCCCTGGTGGGATGGGGGAGGGAAACGGAAGAGTAAAACTGAGAAAACTCGTGGGCTGAGATGAAGACAGTTTAATAGGTAAAGCAAAAGCTGCACATGCAATCAAAGAAAAACAAGGAATTCATTCAGTACTTCCCATGGGCAGGCAGGAGTTCAGCCATCTCCAGGGAAGCAGGGCTGCATCATGCGTAACAGTTACTTGGGAAGACAGACGCCATAACTCCAAACTCCCTTCCTTCTTCTTCACCCAAATTTATATGCTGAGTAAGACGTCATATGGTGTGGAATATCCCTTTGGTCAGTTGGGGTCAGCTGTCCTGGCTGTCCCAGATTCTTGTGCACCCCCAGCCTACTTGCTGGTGGAGTGGTGTGAGAAGCAGAAAAGGCCTTGACCCTGTGTGAGCACTGCTCAGCAATAATGAAAACATCTTTGTATTATCAACACCATTTTCAATACAAATCCAAAACTTATCTCCCTACTAGCTACTAAGAAGAAAATTAACTCTATCCCAGGCAAAACCAGTACATTTTACTCAGAAATCTTCATTAATAATGAGGGGAAAAAATCTCCCACCTTTTTAAAAAGTCACTGTTTAAGTTGCTGCAGATCTGTTTATTTTCTACAATTAAAATTTATGTCCTAAATTGTTTTAACTGTATTCTACCCAGGTTAACTCAAAGTTTCCTATAGGGTTTATTTATTTTTTAATAGGAAACCAAATATTGGGCAACTTGACCTTCAGGTGTAATTTGTTGTTTCCTTCCCAGTAGTCAGAAAACTAGGAAGTAAACTGTAAAGCACAGAGATGGTTTAGGGCCAGATTTTGCACAGACTTGCACAACTGTAATGCGGTGACTACAACTCAAAATCTGCAGCTACTTCCATATTGGCAGACTCTTTTCCCCATGCAGAGATACATGTGGTAACCCTTATAGAGCTGGGACATCTATCAGTATTAAATGTGAGCTAGAGGGATTGAGTCAGTCAAAAACAGATCAGTTTTGATGGAGTTTTGCTCACACTAGATCAATGAGAGTTTTATCATTGAGTGTAATGGGAGAAAAGATCAAACAATAGTTACCAGATCTAGAAAGCTACCCCTAGAGCTGTTTTGTTTGAAATAAAGTGGACCGTGGACATTCTGTGAACTTATAAGAGTATTTATTTCCATTCTGAACCATATTAAGCTGATACTGTGAGGTGTTTGGCTTGTGTTTGAAACTCAGACAAATTCTGTGGGGCTCTATAAATTGAAAAATTTGCAGATCTCAACATTACTAAGATGTTTCTTGCCATTCTGCTTCTGCTCTGCACTGCACTGACAGTGCTCTTGGCTGCCTGGGGCACCACCTTCCAGAGCTGATTCTTGAATGTGTGCAAATTTTGAAGTAAGGTGGGATGACTAATCAAAACAACACTACCACCCTCAAAACACCACCAACAACAAAAACTAAGTGTGGGGGATTCATCTTAAGCTTAAGAACAACAGCAAAGAAGTCACATAAGAAGGTTGAATCTGAATTGGCTTTCTTCCTCTCACATGCACATGAAATAACATAGATTTTTTTGGTAAGCTCAGCAGAAGCTGGGATTTTGCACCAAGGCAGACTTGGATACCTACACAGCCTGAGTGTTTTAGCTCCGAGTGCTCTGTGTAGTGACTACAGTGTCTTGAGACTTGAGCCCTGCCTTGCTGAACAGCTTTTCAGGAGTGATAGAAAATTGCCAAGGACCAAAATGTCTTCCATGTAGTCAGATTGAGAGTTTCTAATGTGAGAGAGAGAATTACAGCTGAGACATAGAAATGTCATAGGAAGAGTTACTCTAAGTGGATGAAGAAGAGTTACTGGATGCTAGAAATAGTATTGAAAAGTCTATAAAAGTTATCAGATTTCCTGCTAGGATTTTCAATCATAACATAGAATCACAGAATCATTTAGATTGGAGAAGACATTTAAGATTGATTCCAACCGTAAATCTAACACTGCCAAATCCACCAGTTATTTGGATAAACCTCAAAACACATAGTTGTTTAGCCAAAGAATGTCTAGTATCCACATATTCTGTGTTACTCAATCCATGTAGATTTATGCCACAATCACCATGATGCATGAAAGGGGTAATGATTTTAATCTAAAAGAGGGTAGGTTTTGACTAGATATAAGGAAGAAATGTTTCCTAATGAGGGTGGTGAAGCACTGGCACAGGTTGCCCAGAGAGGTGGTAGATACCCCATCCTTGGAAATGTTCAAGGTCAGGTTGGACGGGGCTCTGAGCAACCTGCTGTACTTGAAGATGTCCCTGCTCATTGCAGGGAGATTGGACTAGATGACCTTTGAAGGTCCTTTCCAATCCAAACTATTCTGTGATTCTTTGATTAGATACTCAAAAGCTATTAAGTCTCTGGCTTGTTGGACTGATCTCTCTTTTACCAATCTCACCTGCAACAGCAACTGGCAGGGATGCAGTTACAAAATGGAGCTAAAAATACTACAATTATCTTTTCCAATGAACAGTAGATCAGAACTTGATTTGTTTTCTTTTGCAGCTATTCAGCTAAAGGTAAACAGTGCATAATTTCTGGAATGCTAATTACAATCTGCTTGATATGTAGTGCTACTAAATTCCTCAGGCAATTAATTCTATCACGGCAACAATGGAGAGCCCGTCTTCAGGTGTCTGGCTCCAGCAGGTCACATTCCTGTAGTGCAAGGTTCAGTGGTCATTGCTGTATGGCACTCAAGGACATTCATTGCAGATATTCTGTCTTTTCTTGCTTCTCATGTAGGCACTGTTAGATGCTAAAGAAGCTGGGTGGTATTCTTGCTGCTCTTTAAAAAATAGCAGCGATCAGGGAACACATCAGTCCTAGAACAGCAAGGCTTAGCTTGTAAGCTCAGCATCATGTTGTGGATACTAGTAAATGTTCTGGACTGTGGCCTTCTGTAATTCTGCGTTTAGGAAAAAGTGCCTCACAGAATGTGTGTGGTGTCTTTTTTACAGCTGCTGGCATCCTAAGCAAGATAAACCAATCCACAGATCCATGTGAGAACTTTTATCGGTTTGCATGTGATGGTTGGATATATAATCACCCTATTCCAGAAGACATGTCAAACTACGGTGTTTATCCGTGGCTGCGACACAATGTGGACCTCAAACTAAAGGGTAAGTATGTAGTTTCTGAAAGTGTTTTGTTGGCTTGTCATTGTGGCTTGTTAATTGGCTGGTTTTGAAATGAATAAAGACTCCAGGTTTCTTTCTGATCATTAGATAATATCCAACAGCCCAAATTGATGTTCCCTTTTAAGTGTATTTGTGTTGTTTTTTTATTGAAAATAACGTTGAGACCTAGGGAATTATAACAGAAACAGAATTTGGGAGGAATAATACAACTGCTGTAAAACCTACCAGTTAAGAATGGAGGGAAGAAAGGGTACTCCTTATACCAAAGGAAAAGGCGAGGGGATTTGAACTCTTTCCTCCTTTCAGTAGACAGGTAGACCAGCGCGCAGGAGCACAGCACGCACTTTTAAGAATGTCCTGGATCCAGACAGACATCAATCTAGGACAGCACTCTGCCTTTACCAGTGGCCAATAGTAGGAAAAGAGTATAGTAAAGCAAAACCAGAGTGGTATTTTCCAGTATACTTACCTAGCTTTTGACAGGAGGCAATTTAGAGACTTCCGGAGATGGAGGCTGTTTGTGTATTGTGTTTCCTTCACGTTGTAGTTCAAACTGCCATTGAAGTACCTGAGCTATCATCAGTGAAACAGAAGGCTGCTTAAGAATGTGTGTCTGGAGGAAAAAATAGCCCCAGGGTGGAAACGTGTAGGAAGAGAGGTATTTTAATCTGCATGTGACTTGACTTTGCACTATACTCTGCAGCAAGGCCACCTCATCAGGAAGCTGTGTAGACCAACCGGGGAGAAAGGGTGATGATTATTGTTAAGTAGGAAAACCTTGCCAGATTCTTATAATCCTTGCTAAAAGTGAGTCATACAAAAGAAGGGAGATGTGCAAGATTTGTTATTGCTGTTGGTGTGCTTGAGTGTTGCACACCTTGAGCACATTATTGACCTGTTAGTTGACATAAGAGCCTGCTTTGAGCTCAACCACAGAACAGAGGTCAGTTTTAAGATATTGTGCTTAAATACAGCATTTATTTTTCTCTTAGATTTTGTACAGATGTGCATGTGTAGGCATCAAAGCTCTTCTCTGCTTGTTTTCTTCAGTCATAGAGTATTCAATTTTCACATCATTAAATACTTTAAAAGCTGAGTTCGGTTTCAGAATATAAGTTTGGAATTTCAGCATAGGATGATGATGATATGATCTGATGACTGCTGTTTTAAGTCTGCTGAAGATGTCACAACCAAAGCAAGAAAATATTGCCAGAGCCTGTTTTAAGTTATGCTTTGCATTCTAATTGTTCTGCTGCCAGAGTTGGGCTGTATTAGATAACTGTACATACTGCATGAACCACAGCCACAAAGAAGCCAGTCCTAATTGAATATAGAGTAGCAAGCTGTGATTCTCATCCTTAATTTCCTCTTTTTACAGACCCTAATCAAGGACATCATGCTAAGGCACAGACACATTTTATATGGTTTTCTTACTGCAGTCCCTTTAGAAGTTGCTAATCCCTAGCTAGGAAAATACAAGACAAGAAAGAAATGTCTAAGTGAGAAGTATTTGCTTAATAGAAACTCTATATAAAAAAAAAAGAGGTGTAATGAAGTGCCTGGTAACTACTTTAATAGGAGGCCTAAGCTGTTCCTTGGCATGGTACAGGGACAAAGATGTGAAAAGTTGGGTGCTGTAGAGGAGTTGATTTAATACAACATTTGTCATCTCCTCTTTAACATTTTACATAATAAACTTTAAAAAATATATTCTTGGCAATTAAAAAAGGAAAAGAAAAAAAAAGTGTTGAATGTCAGTGTAGTAGCTGCAATAACAAGGCATAACTTCAGCCTCAATGTATGTTTGTGTTTTAACTTGAGTTACTTCAATAAATTAGCTTGAAACTCTGTTATTCTTTTGTGGATAACCACAACCTTGCTATCAAAAGTTTTAGCAAGATGAAGAACTCTTCCATAGGGAAACATGCATATGGCTGACCAGAGCTTGGAAGCCAATTTAATCTCTCTTTTCTAAAGAACCCTTAGTGGAACTTTGTACTTCATTGTAAATGTCCCTGTTTGACACGCAGTAGATTAAAAAAGCCCCAGTCTTTAAAGATCTGATTATTATGCAAGTTCTATGTTCTGAAATATTTATCGTATTAAAGAAAACTATTAATCTTAAAGTGATAACATGTCTTAGCCAGAAAAGCACATTTTTCATATCTGATATTCTTTGATGGTGTGATATAGATGGAAGTATTTACTTAAGCAATATATTAAAAAATTATGTTACTTAAAATAAATTATTTGCACATCTAACTTGTTTTATGGTCCCTGAATGTTGCTGAGCCTTAGGCAGAAAGGGAGTTTGGGTATTTGTGCAAAGACCTGTGTACGGCCTTGGTTACACAAGGGTATCTTCAATCTTCTGGAAGCTCCATTCTTTTTTCAGGGGCAACTGCTATGGAGGAAGATCTTCCGGTTGATCATGGGTAGCAAGTGTAAGAATTAGTTTTGCCTTACCAAAAAAATGTAGCTGTATAATGTACTGAACTCTGCATTAAGTATTGTGTTTGAGAGCAAAGCTTTTTTTTTTTTCCTTTTTTTTGAGGTTGCAGACACATGAGAACATACTACTTTGCAGATGTCAGCTGCAAGAAAGGGAGGAATATTTTCTGTATCAGTGAAGGTTTTTAGTGCTTTAATGGGGAATTCCAAAGAGAGGAATGGCAATGGGTCAATGGAAAATAGCTGAGAACTACTGGGTGGTAGATCTTTTTGCCTGCATATCTCTGGTTGATTCAAGGAACAGGACAACAAATGTTAATTTCAGGCTTCTTCTAGATTTGCAAAACTTAATGTGATAGTTAAAAATCCTAGTTTTTGTAAGATTGGGGTAGGAATATATATATAAAAATAATGCTCCCATTATATGTAAGGATGGATTCCATCTTAGGATGGATTCAAACTAAAATTATATCATCATTTCTGCTTTAATTTCTTTTCCATCCTTTGTTTGAGGGTCACTTGGATTTCTTTTTCTGCTCTCAGAGGAATCTGCAAACCACATGTGTAACTCACTTTGATCTCCTGGCTATATAAAATGCATAAAATCGTAGCCTGGTGAAAGCAGTGGTAGGTCTTCCCTTGGACCTCAGCAACAGCAGGATTTCATGCATCGTGGAGGAATGTACAGAACACAAATGTAGATACCCAAAGATATGTTAAAAGCAGAGACTTGTGGTTTTGGTTATGACCCAGATCCAGGTAATGGACATCTAATATTTAGGTTAAAATTTCTTGGTTCCTTATAGAGCTGTCCTGGGGAGGACTGAGGTACTCCTACGTACAGTTAATCATTGCTGGCTGGACCAGACTGTCCCTGACTTGAAGCCAGCCTTTCATTTGCAGGCACGTTAAAAAAGTACCTCTCATAGGTTAAGAACAACCACTTTTAGTGCCGACAGGCCTCTGAGGAAGCTCTTGGAGTCCTTCAAAATGGAAAAAATGGTTTGGCTGTGGCACCTGTTGTATGAGCAAAAGCTGTCTTAAACTGCACTCTTTCAGCCTTATGTCAGGTCAGGATTGCAATGTCTCTGTGAGTTAATAAATGTTTTTTGCTTACCATTAAATTTCCTGCAAAGCTATTTGTGTTCCTGCTTAATTTTTCCATTTTGATTGGTGACCTTAATTAAGAGTTTAGGAGCAGTATTGTCTTACCTTTGAAATGCAAGTGGCTTTTTGTGAATACAGAACTGGAAGTCTGAGGCAAGTAAACCAGTGCCTATTACCTGTGGTGAATGTTGATCATTTTCCTTTCTCTGAAGTCTGTAGAACAATGATATACAGCTGTTTGGTTTATCTTTTTTGTTTTTGTTTTTTTTTTGTTTTGTTTTGTTTTTTTTTTTTGTTTTTTTTTGTTTTTAAGTGACCATGCAGGAAGCAGTAAATTAAAAAAAAACAAAAAAAACCCAAAAAACCCAACTATGCAAACATTCCTAAATCTTAGCACTGCAAAGGAGCTGATTTAAATTACGTAAATAATTTGTGAACATGTCTTCCAGACCTTTTAAATTTAATTTATGCCTGTGGAAACCAGTTTACACATTAAGTCTCCATACTGATCCTGGCCTAATGAGACACCTACTTCAGACTAATTTGCTGTGCTAAGCTTTCTAGCATAGCTATTTTCTGAATGCCAGTCAGTTTAAAGTGAGGAATTTCCAACGTGGCAAAGAGAAAGAAATGGAGGCCTTTTAGGAGGATGTGCTGTGTGCGTTTTTAAAGAACATGAGACAGACAGCAAACAAAATAACTTGGCAGTGTAGGCAACTTTTCCCAAGATAATCTGCAATGGTTTTCTTTAGAAAATAAATTCTTTTTTAAGTAAAACCAGTAAGGTAAGAATATCTCAGTATGGAAATTTATGCTATTTGACCATAGGATAGTCCTTTTAGACAAATCCCAAATTTGGTGTTGAATGGCGGCTGTCCTGCACAGAGGACCCTGTACCACCAGGCTCTTTAGGGCTGGTTTCTCTTCTCCCACACTTCAGCAGATGCTCAGTTGGGACCACTGGGATGGCTCAGATGTGGCCCATGACATCTGTAATGTAGCTGCCGACACTTATCCCTAGGTTTCTGTATTAGTTCACTTGTCTTTTGTGATTTCTTCCTTCAGAGGTAGCTAGTTGAGAGCTGTCCCAAGGAAGAGGGAGAATACCAGCAGTAATTAAAAAAACAAAATCTCATAGGGTATTTATGTTATTGCCTGCAATATCTTCTTGTTGAATAGCTACTCCTGGATAACAAGATGGCAGCAAACAGCAACAGCACTTAATGCTGTTTTGCTTGGTCTTTTCTACTACAAATGGATCTCTTTTCAATGCTGCAGATTTTTTTTTTTTTTCCAGTGGTCCAGATATTTCCTATAATGGCTTACTCATTTAAATGTAAGAAAAAACATAAGTGGCACAGGCCAGGTACATCTCTTTGGGCAACAAGTTAATAGCTTTTTGGTAAAATGGAAGTACCTGAGCC